GTCACACTTTACATTAGGGCTTCATTAGTTAACATTAGCTTTTGCTCATTGTGAATGTTAATGCATTAACTAAGGTTAACTAATGAGGTCTTATTGTAAAGTGATACCTATTGGTCTTTATAGTTCTTTTGCACTTTAATCTGTGTAAAACTTTTAACTTTGTACATTTTTCTGTATTGCTTTATTGCATTTAAATGTTCAGTTATTTTTGTTATAAGAAAAAAGTTATTAAACCTGTTATACTGTATTATGACAGCACTTTTTTAACTTAATTTCAATATCGTGATAATACCGTATACCGTAATAAAAGCATTAGCAATTAATCGCAACATGAAAATTTGATACCGGCATATCACTACGTGTGATTAGTGTGAACTAATGCTTCAAATGAACGACGACTAGTCGACCAGAAAAATCCTTAGTCGAGGGCAGCCCTAATGTTACTAATGTAAAGTATGGGTGTGTATATATAATTTGTTTTTAACGTCATAAATCTGATTTTTTTTTCTTCTTGGCATTATGGGGTATGGAGTGAAAAAAGAAGCATAATTTTAGAAAAGATTTTAGATTTTTGGATCTGACTTTTAGTCATACTTTTGTCACTGATCCATACATAGAAGGAAGTAGCCAATTGAGGGATGTGTAAGGTGGCCAAACAATCAGAACTGAGATTGCCATTTTGAGAATTTTTGTGTGATATGCGTCCACAAAACTGAATCTCTTACCTCTAGTAATAGTTCACAAATGACCTCCCCAGGCTCAGAAGAAAGGACTGCAGTTAGCGAGGAGCTGGCTCGATCCTCCGTGTGACCTCCTGATCTCCTCTTAGCCTCCTCTGTGAACAGCACACACAGAAAGTGCAGGGTCGATGTGTAGAGAGAAGACTCGGTGCCCGATTGGTCCAAACACACTCGGAGAGTGTCTGTCGCGAGAGAAAGCAAAGACTAAACATAAAGAATGCTAATATTTACTTTTCCAAGCTTTTCTCAAACTCTGAGACGAGAAGATGCAAAAGATGCAAAACTTCACAACAAACAATCTTCACCACAAGGGAACATCTGACGAAAAAGTCTCTCCAAACTCACAGGCTTTTAAAAACAGCTTCCAAAGCCTGGATACCTGCAGGCAAGTCAGCGAGTCTACTGCCCACCCACCTGTTTTAGGATTTTCTACCACATCCATCAGATCTAAAGCAGGCTGATTGTTCTCCCTGTCTCTGTCCCAGTCTGTCATATGCAGCAGGGACACCCATCCACACATACAGGCATAATGAGCTGGCCTCCCACTGCATCTGACTCCACCTCAGCTGTCTCCTTCCTTCTCAACATCTATCTAGTACATCCTCTTCCATCTAAACTCCTCAATCTTTCTTTTCCCTCCATCCCCTTGCGCTTTCATCATGTTTGCCACCATTTTCTCTTTGTACTCTTCTGTTTCTTTCTGCCTTCCCTTTCCATTTGCTTGTCTCCACCCTTTGGTGTGTGTATGTGTGTCACCTAAAAAGCGCTGCCAGTGTTTCCCCAGTGCCACACCGACAGATGGGCCGACTGCAGCTTGGTTCCTGCGCAGCAAAGTAGCCAGGAGCATCAACACATCCGCCCAGGCGTTGAGCATTGCACCCTGGGCCTGTGCATCTGAGGACCAAAACAAGCAAACACACATCAAAAAACACTTTCAAATCACTTTTCTTTCATCTGAAGGTCTTGTTTGGAAGATTTTGGAGGGGGTTGTGGATTTGCTGAAGACTACCCAAGTCAGCGACAGACAGCGTGAGGATGGAAATGAGGTTGTTCAGCAGGGGTTTGAAGATCTCTCGGTGGAACGGCATATCCTCACTGTGTATTGCTGCTGACTGCAGGAGCTTACACAAACTTTGCACATAATACACACTACTCAGCACCTGAGGGAGAAACAGGAGGGTGAGGGGAGAGAAAGACAGTGTCAGTAGTAACGAGTGCCGAGTTACCTATCGAAAAACACACATACAGCACTTTGGTTTCACAACAAATAGGTGACTAACTGGAGCTGTGTTCAAGAGAAAGTGGAACTGAACCAGAAACCATGATTCCCTTGTATTCCACTTTCGGCAGAACTGCTTTTGTCAAGTATGACTGTGTGTACATCAATGAAAGGTTATGGGTAAAAAAGGGTCAGTTCACCCAAAAATCTAAATTCTGTCATTAATTACACACCCTCATGTCGTTCCAAACCCGTAAGACCTTCGTTCATCTTCAGAACACAAATAAAGATATTTTTGATGAAATCCGAGAACTTTCTGATCCTGCATAGACTGCAACGCAACTAACATTCAAGGCCCAGAAAGGTAGTAAGGACATCGTTAAAATAGTCCATGTTACATCAGTGGTTCAACCGTAATTTTATGAAGCTGCAAGAATACATTTTGTGCACAAAGAAAACAAAACTAACTTTATTTAAACATGCTTGTGTGATGAGCATGAACCGATGAGCTTTGTTTACTATATGCGATTTGCTCTGTGCATGTGTTTTGATGTGAATAAAAGCCTACAATAAATCTGATTATATAAATCAATAGTGTCTCTTCAAAAGACTTGAATTAAAACACTTGATTCATTGTATGATGCCTTTTTGAGTTTTTTGGATCTTCTAAAATTTGCTAACCTGAACTTTCAATGGAGGAACAGAAACCTCTCAGGTTTCATTAAAATATGTTTGAATGACATGAGGGTGAGTAAATGACGACAGAATCACTTTAAGCTCAAAGCACTTAAGAGATATCGTAAACAAGTTCACTTTTTTTATTGATCATAAATTTGGTCAAGAAATAGAGCAGACACTGGACAAGGACGAAACTTTCTAGCGTGCATGTTTTGTCCGTCTGTGTTCGAGCTCACTATCAAATGGAGTTTACTTTGAAAGGCTACATGTTCGGCTGTATGCATGCGCTAAGATGAAAACTGCAAACTCTTCTGACTTATTTAGCATTTTATTTACTTGAATTTAATGTCACATATTATCGATGTGCAGATTTTGAAGGGAATAGATTTATTCATGGTAAAATGTGTTAAATACTGCTAACAATACTGTACTTTTAGCTAAAATGATCATAAAATTATCAAAAATATTTAATAAGCAATCATGCATGTGATTAAGGCCCTGTTTACACTAGTGCATTTTTGTTTTAAAGCGGCGTTTAAAATAACTCAAAACGAAAATGATCCTCGTCTACGCTGGTGTTTTCACTGCGTTTCAGAAATGATCTCCGTCCACACTACACACCCGAAAACGCATGTCACATGACCATTTATACAGGTATAACCATAGATATATATAGGTAGACGCCCTATTATTTAGATGGCGGACGCTTCTACGTGCATGGAGCGGTCGAATGGGGAATCTACCTATACATATCTATGGGTACAACTATGAGCATGATGTTATTGTTTACACGGTCATCAAGGATACGCAGAGCAAATGTGGGCAGCCATGCCATAATTTTCAAAAGTCTCCGTTTTGGTCCATTTACACTGAAACGCAACCCCGGAGTTTTCAAACTAAAACGGGGTCTGCAGCGTTTTCAAAAATCTCCGTTTTCACAGGTCGAAAATGCCAGAGTAGTGTAAACGACAGCCGTAACCGTAGCAAAAGTTATGCGTTTTAAAAAGAAAACGCACTAGTGTAAACGTAGCCTTAGGATGTATAGAAATTTGTGAATGATGGGTGTTCCAAATTTGCGGAAATCTGCCAAGCTTTCTGTAACGTTCTGCAGGCATTTCCTTATGACAGATTGGTGTTTAAGTGCAGGTGGAAAATGATAGCCATAATGTACCTGGTTCCTGGCATCTTCCATAGCAGCTGGCAGGAGAGGTATCCTTAACTCATTGACACACTGAGATATGGCCGCTGCATCAACAACACTGAAACAGACAGCACAAAACCAACAGGAAGTCATGCAGGTGAGTTCACAGTCTAAACAAATGAATACAACGAACACATAAATAGAATCGAACTTTAAACATGGTTTGTGTCATTTTTGACATGTTTCTTGGGTCTTGCTGTTAACCAGCAGAGACAAAACAACCACAATTTGGTATTTAGAAAGAGTGGGCAGATGGCAGGCAGGATGTGGTTGTGTTAAAGTGTTGTCAGGTAAACCAAGAGAATATATTTATATATGCGTACGGTGCGAGTGTGAAAATGAGGTGAGAGGCGTGCATAGGGTTGCAGTATGTCATATATCCACATGTGTAGTGCATGTCTGTGATTAACAGCTTAGAAAATATTAATAAATATTTAGTAATTTACTAATAAAATGTCAGAATGACGCTTTAAAAAATATTATTGTATATATAATAACTTTGCACAACATCTGTTTGTCTTCACATGTCTCTCTAACCTGGCCATGTTCTCAAGTATTTGGTTCTGTTTGAGGGCAGATAGACTAAACTCAGGAAGCACAGCCAGCAGGTTGTCCAGTAAACCGCATACTGCTAGCAACAGGTGAGGGGTTACTATAGCACCAGGCTCGGTCATCCCCCCTGGGTGGGACTCATGAGTGAGGGCGGAGTCTGAGCTGTCCGTGTCACTCTGGCCTATAGCATAAAGAAATAACAGCAGCCTCAAATTACTAAAGACTGGGGGGAAAAAAAACATTCTTGTCAAGGCTAAACTGTCAATTCCTTGCCTTTTTCCCCTCAAGTCATACCTTGAGCAGTGAGTCTGTTGACTGGAGTGTCCTGGATTCCAGCAACAGCTGAGGTCGGAACTGGAGAATGAGTCCCACTAGAGCTACCTGATGGAATCTAAAGAACACACAGACAGACATAATAACAATTTGAAAATAATTCAGGCTAATTTTTGCTAATCTGATGTTGCTTGCAGCTACCTATAAGCGTGTAGCTCTCTTATACGTTATAATATCATTATACCATTCCATAGATTTTCCACCCAAAACAGCAAAGAAAATGTTAGAAAAACTTATTTTTCATATAAAGTTATTGATTATTGAGGGGTTACCAAGGAATTGCATCACTAATTATCTTATAAATTTACAGCTTTGGCAAATAAAGGCAATTTGGTAGCAGTTTTACTTAACATTATCAATTATAATATTGTAAGTGTAGTGAAAGACCAACATATACAAACCAGGCTGATTAATCACTCAATCATGCATTTGGTCATTTTGAAATTATCACTGTCAACTGTAAATTCCAAATATTGTCTGCTTTAACAGTTTGGTTTGTCTCATTCACTATTATATTATATTGTATTATAACTAACAATGATATTTTATTTTACATTACATTATAATATAGCATAATACATTAAAATATAAATTACCATTCAAAAGCTTTTTAATGTTGTTAAAAGAACTCTTTTGTACTCACAAAGGCTGCATTTATTTGATCAAAAATACAGTATATTATATCATTCTAATATTGGTTTGGTACTTAAGATTACTTTTTTTTACTTTATTATTGTATCAGTTTTATTTTACTATTAATTGTATTTTATGATATTATAATTATTATTTTCAGTGTTGTTATCAGTGAAAATGCTTACTAATACTTTAAATTCTGTTATAACAAGCGAATGATAAATGTAAACACCATCATCTAAAATATGCAGCACACCGGCCATGATCTCTAGTACAGAACAGTATTAATAATGCGTGTAAGCATATGGATGCCACCGAGTCAGACATCCACTAATAGCTGGCAGTGCTCTGGGCGCGTGGACGCCGTACCCTGGGTGACATTGGCTGGCGGTGGAGGGGGGCTGAGGGTGAAGGCATGTCTGCCCATGTAACAGCTCTTCACCATCTGGCCCACGCTCTCAAAAAACTGGCAGTGGTACAACAGAGCCTGCAGGGCAGGAAGCCCGACCAGACACAGGCCTGAATCCTCATCATGCACACAGGGGCTCTGGGAGACACAAGAAAGAGAAGAATAGAAGATAAAAAAAAAGAAAGAAAAAAAGAAAATACAGGAAATTTAATACTGAGGAAACCAGAAATCACCACAGACAGATCTGTTATGTCTACAGAGCTTTTAAGAGCGGCTGTGTTATTGATATTCAGTTCTGAAAGTTTATTCTCATGTAAACATACCTGCCAGGCACTCTCTTTGGCCTCTTCTGCATTAGCAGGCATTGGCATCACAAGGAGGTTTTGCAAAATAAACGCTGCCTATAGGGAAGGGGAACATAAAAATCAGCAACACTGCCATCTTCTTGTAAATTAATGGAAATGCATGCTGGTTGAATTCTCAAAGGAATTGCACAAAGCAAGTGACAAATTCCTAAAAAAAGCGAGTAATGCAAATACATTCCCTTGAAAGTGTGACTGTCTATGCTTGTTTAACCTCTTTTTCTCTTCCTGTTTCTGAATATGTCTTTGTACTAAACCTATACTAATAATGAAACATTCAGAAATAGATCACAGATCTGAACGAATATGACTTGCAGAGCCCTTCTGACTTGCAACATTAAAATCTAATCATAATTGCAGCTTATTCTAACCCAGAACGCCCACTTAGACAGGAAGTGGCCGACTGACTGCTTTGTGAAGCTACTAAGCACTTTTTATTTCTTTGTACACTATCGGTAAAAAGTTAGGAATAATTAAGATTTCATTTTAATGTTTCAGATATTTTTTTTTTTTTTTTGAAAGAAGTCTCTTATGCCGCGTCTACATCAGAAACCGAAACTGACATGGTTTCTAGAGTGCAAAAGGTTTTGTGAAAAAAGGGAAGACTTTAAAATAAAGTCTGTAAAATAAACTGTTAAAATGATTTGATGATTAGTGAATGTACGCTATTGTTGTCATCGTTCAGTCTGTATTTCAGCTTTAATGTACGTTTTTTTTAAACAAAGCAGCTGATATTTGCCATAGCAACAGCTAGAATCTAGTGGAGTGCCGAGTCGCTTTCACCCCAAAATGGTGGAAGCGTAGGGCTGCTGCTGGGCGCCGCTGTTGCAATGGAACGTTCTTATTGGCTTTCACTTCTTGTCAGTATAAGTTCTATTATCGACTGTGGAAAAAAAACTGAAAATCTTATTTCACCATGTATATGTTGTTGTGGGAGGCCTCTAATGCAGAAATAAATGAGTTTGAACATTTTTGATATTTTAGTACGTTTTTAGTGAAATGTAATATTACAACGTTGGGCCTTTGGGGTAGCAGATTTTCAGTGATTTTACTAACTGTCTGAACTAGTGTTGTTTTTGGCGGCCTGTTTTAATTTTAGTTTTAGTCTAGTCTTTGTGTGAAACTGTCATTTTAGTTTTTATTAGTTTTAGTCACGTTCATACTCTTTTTAGTCTAGTCAAGTTTTAGTCAACTAAAAGTCTGAGCATTTTAGTCTAGTTTTAGTCGACGAAAACTGATGACATTTAGTCTAGTTTTAGTCAATGAAAATTGTATTTTAGTCTCTTTTTAGAAATGCAATTCTATTTAACCCAGTCAATATAGTATAAGTACCTAGTAGTATAGACGAAACCAAAATTTTCTTTTAGCCAAACCCATTTCAAACAAGGTTATCTTATTATATTATTATTACCTTATAGACTCAAGAATACATCCATTCCAGACACGGAAGACGCTCTGATTTGAATTTACAACATTTATTTTACCAACCAAACATGTTAGAAGTACACACACATAAATTTAAATAAAGACGAACCCCGGCTGGCCGGCCATCGGTCCCTTTCTCTGTGTCAGACTTAACTTTGTTTGGTTTTCATCTTCTAAATCAGTGTTTCCCAACCTTTCTTTAGTCGCGGCACCCTTTGGAAATTTTAACAAATTTGTGGCACCCTACAAAATTAATTTTGTCACAATATTTGAATTTCTAACTTCGATATGATAATTTGAAAAGTATAGATATTCGGTACAACAGGGAAGAACTGCAGAATATAATGTCATACAGATATTTTTAATATTATAAAAAGAAATGTGTCTATCAATGGTGGCAATCAGTAGGCTAATTTCTAATGAAGAGACCAATTTATATGACAGATTTTAATGTAGGCTTTTATTCATATGTAAACATTGTGAGATAGCTAGTTATAATGGTAATTAAACAAAGTTTTGATTTTACAGCTGGGTAATTTTGTTGCAGTAGCACGAGATAGCTTGATTTAAAACTTTGAATTGAATAAAAAAATGACAAGGAGGCTAAGCAGTTAATAATAAAATAAGAACAAATAAAGAAATTACTAATGATAGCACAAATAAAAAAAAATCACGATAGGCCTACAAATGAAATAAATTGCTTTTTAGTTTTTCAGGTAGGTCTAACACACAGTAGGGCTATTAAGAGAATTTTTTTTTTACCAATTATCCAAATAATGTTTAATCCTAGAAAGCTATTATCATCAGAGGACACATGAGCATAACGGTTAGCAGATCAATGAATGAGAGGGCAGCGTTACCAGAGTTGCCCATTTACCACACCTTGTTACAACACAGTAGGGCTATAGCAGACAGAAACAATACTGTACTACAGAGATGTTTCCTGTCAGCTTGATTTCTGAGTGGACTTTGCTGTTCCGATGAGCATGAACGCGAGCGACTGAGCGGAGCACACACACGCATAGAGCGGATAACACGCAGAGCGTCACACCACGTGAAAGTGAATCCTGAGCGGTGAACTCATTTTCGGCAGCCGAAATTTCGGTGCATCTCTAATTATTGGCGACATTAGAAATGGATATTATATAATAGCTGCTTTTTTGAACATTTTAGCAATTTAAAAATATTAAAAAAGGATTTTTTACACGGCACCCCTGCTCTCGACAGACGCGGCACCCCGGTTGGGAAACACTGTTCTAAATAATGCCGCGAGTGGGGCTTGAGGAAGTGACGTCGCCTGCGTCTGCGCAGTGTGACCTGATGCAGCCCCTGAAGCGAGACACAGGAAACAGAAATACTGCAAAATAATAATAATAACGCGACTAAACGAGACGAAATAACGTTATAACATTTCGTTTCGTCTCGTTTTGGTCAACGAAAATGAAGAGACATTTTAGCATAGTTTTTATTTTGTAAACCACATTTAGTCTCGTTTTTATTCGTCAACGATATTGCATTATACATTTAATTATAGTCATCGTCACATGACCAGCATTTTCGTCTCGTCTCGTCTCGTTTTCGTCACGTAATAAAGGTTCGTTGACGACGACATTTAGTCATAATTTTCGTTGACGAAAGCAACACTAACGATGTTCTGAATGGTTGTAAGGTGGTTGCTAGGGTGTGCTAGAGATGTTTGTAATGGCGCTTTTCCACTGCATGGTACGGCACGGTACGGCTCATGTACGGTTCACTTTTGGGGGGTTTTCCACTGGGTACAGTACCTGGTACCTGGTACTTTTTTTTAGTACCACCTCGGTTGAGGTT